GGCTCGGACTCTGGCCACTGAGTAGTGAACAGGAGCCCCCTCGCTCACACTGGTGTTATAGGGCAGGTTCAGGATCACTGGGTCATTGTCGTTGATGTCAAGGACCAAGACACCAACCACCACCTGGAAAAAAACACAAAAGTTAATGGGCAAAAAGCTACAAAATTTTAAAGTATACACTTGATGACTCTGGGCCAAAATGACATGTAAATGATGCAGTTTTTAACATGATGGCTTCATTATATTGGCTTTATTATATTGAGTATAATGAGCATGACTTGTCCCACATCAAAATGTATTAGAACTTTTAGACACTGGTATTTAAAACAAAACATAAAATAAGGAACCTTCTACTCCTACACTTATTACATTATATCTATTATTAATCTGTCATCACAATAATGCTTGCCCAATTTCTATTTGTGTAACTGATTGTCTCATGAGGGCAATTTGTCCTCTATAAATCAGAAGTACTTAGCTGAAAGATTAGCGTACTGACTGTTTTGACATTATTAAGTGATGAATGTGAGCAGTGTAAGCCCGAGTTGTTGAGTATAAACAGTACATGTACGCACAGAGCTGTTTCTGGAGGGCGTTCCCAAGTCGCGGGCTGTCACTGTGATGTTGTAGAATCCAGTGGTCTCTCGGTCCAATTCCACATCTTTCCTCACTCTGAGCTCCCCCTCCACCGGAGACACCATGAACTCATCTGATAAAGGCATACAGGCATATCATTAAGACATCGTGCTGTATGCTGTAAAATCTTGTTTCGTCTAAAATGAGTTAATGTCATTTTGGAGGTATCTGAGACCTCCTATATCATGTGAATAAATATCGTGAAAAATATTGAGCTCAAAATTGACCTTTAACCCTTATTTGTCAGATCCTGTGTTCTGCCTTTGTATCATGTATCAAAATTAAGGAGTCGTGCAAAGGCAAAAGGCTGTAACTGTGTATGATTTGTTTGTGATTTACATAGTTAATAAATATATTTTATTTTAAAATCCAACCTCTCGCCTCCTTTTTGTTGCGGCCTTGGCACAGGGTCTTAACACATTAAATAAATATACCTTTATATTCAGTTATACTTAAATTGTCTTTAATATGAAAGTATTTTGTGTATTTATTCATACTGCGCATACTATACTGCAAAGTCACTTGTCAAACTGTTTATCTGTGTAAAGTGTTGCTGCATGATCCTGACCAACACTAAACAGGAAATCCAAAGCTCTTCTACATCATTTCAGACAAACACCATGATGACTCAACCTTGGGGAGGTTTTTATAATGGATGGAAATCTGGGGAAAATCAAGCAAATAATGATCATGTCAGTTTCTGCCTTTTGCCTTCGCACGGCTCCTTATTTTTGATACATGATACAAAGGCAGAACACAGGATCTGACAAATAAGGGTTAAAGGTCAATTTTGAGCTCAATATTTTTCACATACAAATATTTCTTCTTTACAGCAACTAGTTCTAAAATCTTGGGAGCCCCACCCATTATACTTTCGTCTGAACAAAACAGAAACTTTAAAGTAATTTTTCTCAGTTTCACACTTTGGTGAGTTAAGAGCTTTCGTCTTTGCAGGGCTGTATTGAATACTAACATATTTAGCTCATGAGTTTACATTTTATTCATTGTAAACAACAATCATATAAAACAGCTTAATAATAGAAACACGTTCATTGACTCCTTAATAAAAATTTAAATGTTGTGCATCACTAAATTTGATGTTTGACCTGTGTATATATACATCTATAAAATTAAGTACAAATCTGAATTATACAAAAAATGAAAGAAAATATATAAAAACATTAGTAGATGTTACGTGGCAACCATGCAAACAGTGGTATAATATTTGCTTTATTACAACTTCCTTTAGCCATGGGCAGTATATTTATCAGGAAGTGTTGCCATGCTACTTGGTATGAGTTTAATCACAGTTATAAACAATTGCATGCATTCAAAAAGATAAAAAATACTATAGTTTACATTTTCTAGTTGAGAGAAGATAGGAATTCTGGAGCAATTCTGATGAACAAAATCAAAACATGAATATTTTCTTGGTTTCTTTGTAGACAAAACATTAAAACAAAACAAAAGCAGGCACGTAACCTAATCTATGCAACATTTTGATGACTTTTTCACATTCAAAAGTTATAATATTTTGTTCAAACCCATGGATAGTGTTCGACCCATAGAGTAATACTGTCCCCTGGTGTGAAATATAATAAATAATATAACTCAATCCCCCAGCACATACTTTGATAATCTCCTGCTGTGATGCTGTACTCGATTTTGCCATTGAGGCCGGAGTCTTCGTCTGTGGCTTTGACGGTCCAGACTCGGGGTCCCGGCTGCCCCTCTGTCACCTCGAAAGGCCCCTCGTAGGGTCTGGGGAAAGTGGGCGTCACATCGTTTATGTCCAGTACATTCACCAAAACCTGGGGGGAAAGATATTTTGTCAGCCGTTGTGAAGAATGGAGGTACACAACAGCAGTATGCATCACTTGTAATTGGGAATTTAACCGTTAAAACCGTTAATCTGGGGGTTAATGGGGGAACATCTTCTGTTTTAAGCATATCCACAATAATACATTTCTATCAACCATAACAATATCTACTACTAAAATAGGATTAATTTAGTAGAAACCAAGAAATAACTACCTTGTAATGCAAAAAAACAAGTAATATTCTATTTGGTTGGGAGCCTATGAACTTGCATTTACTTTACCAAGCCTATTCTGTTTATTTTAGTTATAAGATATGATACAGTAAAGTGTGGATGTCCTCTTACCGTGGTGCTGGAGGTGAGCCGCAGTCTGAGTATTGGACATTGATCTGTTGCTGTAACGACCAGAGTGTAGTGTCCGTTACTGATCTCATAGTCCAGAGGCTTCACTGCTGTGATCCTCCCCTGAACGAGACACAAACCAGAACTTAACATCTGCGAATACTTTAGTTTTGTTTGCTACAATTAAATATTTTATGGCTTATCACATTTTCCACCTGTCCATATACTTGTACTTGTATTGAGTATAGTTCTAGCCATTGTGATTGTAATTAACTACATTAAAATCATAGTACAAGTACCAATTGTCTCAGTGTGCAGTTTTCTCTATATCCCTAGATTGGCTAGAGCTCAAAATCGTGGTTTAAAATAACTTCAGATTAAACAGGTTTTATGTAAAATATTTATCTAAAATTGTGTAACTAGTACTTTGAGCTGTATTTAAATATAATCTTTATATTTTCACTTAAAAACAAATTTGGCAGCAGTACTTTTTTAGCCGTGTAACTATACTTTTACTGCAAATGTTCAGTACTCTTTCCACCATTGCTACTTCTCCTCTGCACATCTAAAGGTGTGTTTAGTGTTTAGACTTGTTTCTCACCGAGATGCTGTTGATGTTGAAGGTCTGGATGAGGTTTCCCTGGGTGATGGCGTATCTCAGCGTTCCGTTCAGGCCCTCATCCGGATCAATGGCCGTTACCGTGGCGATGGTGGCCCCCACGGTTTCGGGTCCCTCACTCAGGACGGTTTCGTACTCCTCCTCTGGAAACTCAGGGGCGTTATCGTTCTCATCAATAATGCGCACGTAGATGGTGGTTGAAGTCTGCAAGAAAGAATAAAGACTACTACTTTCTACTTCTACTTCATTAAAGTTGCACTATGTAACTTTTGAGAGAAGGATCTGCCACCTGCTTGTGTCTTAAATGTTCCAGATTATGGAATTAAAAGTATCTAGCTCCATGGAGACAAGCAGGTGTTGTCGCCTCACTAAGTTCGTTACCAGTGACACTGAAGGATCGGTCAAATGCAGAGAATAAATTTCCCTACGGGGACAATAAAGTGTACCTTACTTCATTATCATTCTAGTTTTATTACGATTCTATTTGCAAGAACTGTTGTTTAAATTGTAATTTGTGAGCTACTGTGTCCAAGTAATTTCCCTTGTGGATCAATAACATTTGTCTGAGTCTTTATAGCACTAATGCAATTAAAATATGAATGAATGAATGTGTGTTTATTTCGGTAGCATAAGAAGAAATATTATGATATGCATACAAATATTTTTTTACGTGCCTCAAAAACAAAACATAAAAACAAACAAACAAAAAAGTGTAACCCGAAGCCATGGCTTATTACGCCTACCCTTTTTACAGCAGCACTTCGACCCACCAAAGCTTTTTATAAACTAAATTTGTACAGACTATTTTTCAGATGTACAACTTAATCTCCATTATATTTGTTACATATCATTGTTTTGATTTTTTTTTATTGTGAAATAAAGAGTTAATCTTCTTAAGTTCACCCATAAGACCACTCTGTAAAAAACAAAAAGTACTTGAACATTTACCCAGTACTTCCCTGAGAAACAATTTTACTTTTGAACCACAACTGAGTCACTTCCTTGTATATGTAAAGTACTGAAACTACTCTGAACTGCAATTCAAATTACATAAAGAGTAGAATATGGTCAAATCCTGCGTGTCCAGTTCAGCCAGGTTCCTCTCGGGACTGGACTTGGGATGGGAGTTTTAAAGATTGAAATATGCATCAAGGAAATAAAAAATGAAAACAATAACAGAACAAACAGCAAAATAAAAAGTCAACGGTGTTTGTCAAAGTTGCACTGATATCATGTGTATGGCCCTTACTACTGCTTGGATTTTGATTTTAACTTAAAATATACACAATTAAATAAACAACTGTATAAAGAAATGTACAGATTAATTAACAGTGACGCATTAAGATTAAGGAAAAATGCATTTATTTGGCTACAGTTCATTTAAGGGAGTAAGAGTTAACTTCATTTAGACCTAATAAAACTGAGAAAAAAAGCTTTATTTGTCCTCTTTGGTTACATAGCATCACTGTACGAGTTTAAATGCCTCTTTATTAGATCCAGATGTACACGCTTCACTTGTTGGTCGCTGTGGGAGTAAAGAGAGAGAGGCGGGGGCGGGGCCTGTCACTGCGAGTATCACGTTGCTTTACGCTCCAAAGTTACAAGGGAGTCTACCTAAGTTAAAGCCAAAGTGACAGACGATTGACATCCAGTGGGCTGCTCCCTTTAAACCAAACTTCATCCAAAGAGTTTTTACTTTTTTGCTTGTCTTGTAGTTTTCTTTACTTTTCAGCAACTTGTTTTTTCTCTTCCAAACTTAACCATGACGCGCTGGAGAGCTGTTTGCGCACGGAAAGGCGTGATGTTGTTCTGCGCGCTGCTGGTGAATATAGCGAAAGGTAAGTGCGCTTTTTCTGATGCTCGAGGGTTCTCTCCGGGCTCTACGGGCGTGTGAAGGCTTGTTGACATTTTATACCTGGCGACACGATGATGTCCTGGTTCACACAGGGAGAATTACGCGTCCCAAGTTAATGACAGGCAAGAAGCACGCGCCACATACTAGAATAATCACTCGCACAAGAATAATTTGTTTAGTCTAGGCTTTTACGTGAGCTAAACTTGGGGCTTACGATGTCTGCTCGGACCCTGTGCATTGTAAACCCAAACAGCTGCGCAGTCGTGTTCATGTTGGGCGTCAGTCTAGTTAAAATAGACTTTATGGCTTTCTGATCTCGTTAGACGATGTTGTTGTTTTGAACATCTGGCGTAAAGCTGTTCCAACCCCTCCCAAAAAGTGCATTGCTTAATCCCACGTTTTCGAGTCATGTTACCCTGTTTTCCCCCCAACTTTGTCATAACAGTTATTACAAAGTGTGTTTTTACAGAAAACTTTCATAAACGCTTCAGGTTTTGCACTCTATAGGCTACATCACCAATTCAGCGTTTTGGAAAGTTGTTGGAATAGTATATTTTTAAAAAAAAAAAAAAAGTTGAACAAGTTGAACAAGTATCGATGCTGAAAAATACTGAATAGGACTTTCCTGAATAGTTTTAAAATCGTCTTATACAGAGGGACTTATACAAGGACTTTTACGCACACTTGCATGCCCCAAAATGGTTATCGCCAAACGCATCAGGTTGCACAGTGATTCCCACAGTTTTTTTGGCCTTTCTCTTGAATCTTGTCTCGTTGTCTGAGTTTTGGCGCTGCGGGGTAAGTGCGGTGAGGAGTGAGCAGGGACAGCTGTTGCTCGAGGCTTCACATCAAAAGCCATTTAAAACCTGCAGAGGTGATCACTTTTCACTCGGATTCAGCCTATTTAGATTAGCTCGCACGATAAACTCCTTAAAGGCAACATGCTGACACAAATTCTGAGACAACGACTCGGCCTGCTACTATCTGTGCCAAAAGTGAGTCTATTCAGTAATGATATTTAAATGAGCAAACAGAAGGCAAATGAAGACCATATGACTTTGTTGGCAAAGCATTAGATTGAAGTGGCTCATCTTTTATATGCTCCCACCCATCATTAACTAACCCTAACCTTAACAAGCATGGTGTAAAAATATAATTAAATAGTTTCAAGCAAATACAGAGCCACTATGAAGACCACAGACTGCAAAGATGACTATCAGAGCCATTAATTTTACAGACATGCAACTGGCCAGAAGAAATAGTTAAAATGTTAAGACTAAATACAGATATCAGTATTACTATTTATCTATTTATCTATTTATAGGCTTATATGCGTCTTTGAAAGTGAATGCATATCCATTGCATCCCTAGAGTCATATCACATCTCTTTTGTTTAACTTGTTCCTTCCTCCAAATAATGACAAGAACATCTGCTGCTACACTGCCAATGCCAACACTGTACTTATCTAAGCATAACTGAACACACATTGTAATCGGTGCCTTTTCCTTGTTTGTCCTGATAAGTGGATTATCAAGCTTTAGGCCTGTCCTCATTTAGGCTTCCAAAATCAACATATCTTTCTGAGGTAGAACTTGGAGAGAAAAGTTTGAGAAGTGTAGATTAACAAGAAATGGACATAAGCAGGATGTGGCTACTCACTTTATTAATTTGCTAACTTTTTGATAACTTTGTTGATCGGGGCAGCAGACACTGATCCACTGTCTCCAATTAAAAATCATTTAAAGGGTCTAAAAATGGCTGCTTCCTCAGTGGGACAGGAGCAGAGCAGTGAGAAGAGAGGAGTCAGGCGCAGTTGCTGTCCTATGTTTTTGCTGAACTTGCGAACAGTTGTGTTGGTGACACACGGGAACAATAGTGGAGGAGGGGGAGCTCCCGAGTTCTTGGGGACCTTTTCTCTGTATTATGAGTGTGGTGGTGGCTGACAGTAACACGCAAATGACAAATAAGTGGCCTTCACTGCAGTGGTGAAGTAACAGTCAAGGTTATGACATTGAAAGTTGTGGCCTTAACACTGTAACAACATTATTAGGTTTTTAACTTAGTGCACTTCTGATATACATTACCTTTGTAAAGTTAGATTGACTCTTACAGTTTTGTTCCTTTTGTTATACAGTTCAACATTGTATAAAATATAAATCTAACCACAAGGGGGCAAGGTGTCAGTCCTTATAGCCAAGATAAATGGAGAATATCTTGCATAATTTGTTGTCATGGCCTAGAAAAGTGTACAGACAATATTTATGTTTAGATTATTAAGATTTATTTCAGCTTTCTGCAAAATAATCATAATAAACAATGATTTCTTCTCTGTGTGCACTAAATTACTGTCACTGAAAGCATCACATTTCCATTCTATCATACACTGCCTATGCCAGTATAAGCCTGCTATGTCAACAAATAATTCAGTGCATTCAGTTAACCTCAATCTTTTATCCCATTAGATACCAAAATTATGTTTTGATATCAACAAACTCAGTTCCCAATACCACACTGAAGATAAAACCACATGTTTCATACAATAGAATATAATTGTAATTGCATGTAATTTTGTGCATAGTTAGAGTCAATTGTGCCACAGAAGAATAAAGAATTTTTTCTCACACACAAATTACATCAGTACAAAAAGCCCACGTTTCACACAAAAGGGTATTTCAGTGGGTCTATTGCTGAAGTCATGTTGAAATCTTATTGTAAACGTGCATCATTTCACAACAGCATGTTCTTGTGCATTTCTGTGGATTTTTCAAAAAGAGGAACTAAGACTGAACATTTATAAAAAACAGACTAATTTTTAAAGCAACGTGCGAAAGCTTTAAGCTGACTGACCTGTAACATTAACCTCAAAACTACATCCTTTTCACTCAATCTTGTGCTTTGTGTTTCCTGTTGTGCAGGATGTCGTTTGCATTTAATTTTAATGCTGAAGACTTGAAGTGAAACTGCTGTTGTGATGCAGTGGAAAGTGTCAGTGAAGGGGTCCTCCAAATGGTTTTATTAGCATGCAGTGATTGCAAATAAAGACATTATCTAGGGATTTTCTAGGGCTTTCCCCCTAAAAAAACTATTCTATATGTACAGTTTTGCTATTAAACATGCGCTGCAGTAAATAACACGAGTGAGTATGAGTCACAGAAGTTATTTATTCAACCCTCTAAAGCTCAAATCTACTCCTAGTACAGGAAAAAGAAGTCTCTCATGTATAGAAAGATAAGTCAATATAGTAATTATCATGACAGGCCTATTTCCACATGTGTTGAAGTTTTGCACCATGGAAAAAGTAGTGCATTAATCAAAATCAAATAGTTTTCAAATTGTTCTTCTGTGAGCAATAATATCAATAGAGTAAAAGCACAAGATTAGCTGCTTTCTGAATGTGTTGAATATGGACACATTTAGATGATTTGTGCTTTATTTTTCTAAATTTCACTCACTAACTATGATTGATTTGGCCAACAAAACAAACCAACATAGCATCAGAATAAAAATCAATTATAGAGTTGATATTTCAATAAAACCCAACCGACTAGTGACATGTGACAAGTTGGACCAAAAGCTGCACAAGCTAAAATAGAAATTAGTGTTGTCACAATATTGGAATTTCAATGTAGATTTTGATACTAATGAAAAGACTCGCTCCTCGATACAAGAATGATAATTAAAATAATTCATTTTTGGATAATGGGCCTTAATTTTCAACCCAAAATTATAGTAGTTTCTTGAATATTATTATGTGATCTAATATTACATGACCAGTCAAAAGTTTGTACTCACTTTTTCATTTATGTTCTTTATTAGGGATGTAACAATAACTGAAATATTGTGATATCGTATCGTCAAAGTTCTCACAATAATATCACGGACTGTCACAATATATCGAATTACAAGTTTCTTTGCTTAAATTAAGAGTTATGGTGCAGCGACAGATAAAAACAAAGACAGAGGGAACTACATAGACCATGATCCTTTGCTTCATTTCAGTGTAAACTATAAGAAGAAATAACAGTTCTAAGCACTTTTAAGTCTTAGTTCTTTGGATTAAGTCTTGTCAAGGCATTTTAAGAGAAAAAAGTATCATATTAACAGTTTTGCCTCCACAAAATATCGCAATAAATATCGTACTGTGAGATATATATATTGTGAAAATATCGTACCGAGCGACTTGGATATTGTTACATCCCTAATCGTGAGCCTCCCCACCATATCACAGTAAATATCGTACCATGATGTTCATACTGTGACGATATCGTATCGTGAAACTTGGATATTATCGTTGCACCCCTGTTCTTTCTTTCTATGATTTTCTACATTATAGATTCTCAACGGAAGGTATAAAATCTATGGATGAATACATATGGAATGTAACAAACAGAAATATAAACTCAAAATAACTCAAAAACCTACTAGATGAAAGAAAAGATCCGACGCACTCAGAAATGCTTAGCTATAATTTTATTTCATGTCAAATGGCAATGCATTTCGAGTTGCATCTTCATCAGGGCATGTCACTCAAAATGTGTTCTAGATGCCACAAAAAATGCCACCCTTTACTTTGATCCCTGCTGAACTCTTGCAATTTCTTGACCCTCATCATGAAGCTCATTGAGAGATGGCCAAGGGTATGGAGCACTGTCAACAAAGCAAAGGGCGGTTTCTTTAAGGGATTTACAAGTAAAATGTGTAAATATATATAATATACATATTAGTTATTTATAGGGGTGCAACAATATCCAAGTCTCTCGGTACGATATTTTCACGATATACATCTCACAGTAAGATATTTATTGCGATATTTTGTGGAGGCTGATATGCTAGTTTTTCCTCTTAAAATGCCTTGACAAGACTTAATGCATCCATTGCAATCCAATGAACTAGGACTTAAAAGTGCTTAGAACAGTTATTTTTATTATCTATTATAGTCTACTGTACACTGAAATGGAGCAAAGGATCATGGTCTATGTAGT